TCTCTCTCTCTCTCTCTCTCTCTCTCTCTCTCTCTGTCAAAGATGGGGTCTTAATACATTCTTCAGGCTGCTCTCAAACCCATGGACTCAAAGTAATCTTCCTGCCTCGGCCTCCGAAGTAGCTGGGTCTACAGGTGTGTGCCATCACGCCTGGCTTCTTTGGACTTTAGCGTAGAAGCTAATGATACTGATTTTCAGCCTTTCTACTTATTTCCTAATATTTAAGGGTACAAATAAATCTTGCTTTAGATATGCCCCCTAAATTTTGAAGTGTTATGTTTTTGTTTTCATTAAATTCAAAACTTTTTCCCAGTTTCGTTTTTTTCTGTGACCCATGAGTTACTTATTTAAGAGTTGTAATTTTTCTGAGCATCTTTTTGTTATTGACTTGTAATTTAATTCTCTATGGTCAGAGACCATACCGTGTGTGATTTGGGCATTGCCTTCCTCACCCTTTTTCTGGAATCCAGTTAGATACATATTAGGCTGCTCCATCTTGCCCTCTCTGTTCACTTATGATTGGTGGTTTTTGTTTTTTTTTTTTCTTTTCTCCGTAATAGTTACTGAAAGGGTAGAATTGAAGTCTCTAATTTAATTTGCTTCTATTTTTGACTTCTCTTAGTTTTCGCTTAACATGTTTTAAGGCTCTGCATCTACATCCAGGAATATTATATATTCTTGGTAATTTGGCTATCACTATGCAGGGTCTCTTGTTATTCCTGCTAATATTTCTTATTTTGAGGTTTAGTTTCCTAAAATAGTATTAACCACCTAGCCAGGTTTCTTTTTACTACTCTATCGTCAAACACAGCATTTTATTCAGCCTGGTACTCTTAGCTTATCTGAAAGACATTCTATTGGGATGTGTGTGGTTTTTTTCCTTAATGAATCTGTGTTTTCCATGGAATCTCGAGACATCTGTGTTACCAAAACCTCAGTATTGTTGAGTATAAATATGCTATCTTTCTGCTTGCTGGCTGTCCGTCTCCTCTTCTTTGTTCCGTTTCTGTCAAATACCCTTACCTTATTTTGGATTTCATTTCTATCTTTACATTAACTTTTTCATGCTATAGTTTGACTTACTTGGGTTTTAAACTATATATTTTGAATCGATTGTATCCTATTAATATTAGTGTACTTTTCATAGAATCTTTCAACAGTGTTTTCTACTTTCCCTTTCTGGTCTTGATGATCTTACCGTACAATGTGCTCTTGCATGTAATTGCCATGGTTCTTGAAATTGTTTGCTGATGAACAGCTACATTTAAAATGAAGATAGCGGGCCAGCCAGATAGCTCAGTGGACTAAAGTGCCTGCTTAGGCAGAGCACAGCATCCGGGGTTCAATCCCCAGCCTATCATGCCAGCCCCATCCCTGGGCACACAGAGACAGCGACTGAGACTGGGTGTGGTGGCACACTCCTGTAATTCCACTGCTTGGGAGGCTAAAAACAGGAGAATCACTGTGAGCGTGATCTATGTAGTGAGACCCTGTAGCCCCTGTAGCCCCTGCAGAGGGTGTACCAAATACACTTAAAAAAAAAAAAAAAAAGAGGATAGAGGTATTTTGACATATATTTACACATACAAAATTTCTGTAGTTCATTCTTGAAATAATTTTCTTAGCCCTCAAGAACTTCTTTAGTATTTTTAATAATGAAAATCCAATTTTTTGTTCTTTTTGTCTTAAGAGTCTATTTCATCTTCATTTGTGAAGCATACTGTCACTGGAGGTAGCCCTCTAGGCTTTTAGTGTTTCTTTCAGTGTTTTATTTGCTTGCCTTCAGGTTGCATAATTTCTGATGAGAAGTCTGTTGTCATTCTTGTTTTTGCTTTTGTGTATGTAATTTTCCCCCTGTTAAGATTTTTTTTTTCTTTCTCATTGATTTTTAGCAGTTTGATTCTACGTGATACTGTGTATTTGTGGTGCTTTATTTGTGTTTATTCTGCTTGGCATACACTGAGCTTTTTGAATGTGTATTTTATGCTTTTTGTCGAATTTGGAAGAAATTTGACTATTTCTTCAAATATTATTTTTGCTCCACTTCTTTTTATCAGATTCCCATTTTATATTCATATTTACAGGTGTTTCAATCTACCTGATATTTTTCCATGCTCTGTTCATTTTTCCCAGCCCTTTTCACATATATGTGAGATATATACACACACACACACACACACACACACACACACACACACACACACACATTTTCATTCCACTTGGGTCGGTTAGTCCTGGTTTGGACCTTTTCAGGGTTTTCATTCTTTTTGTTTTGCATTTTTATTCTTTCTCTTTATGTTGTTTGTGTTTTCCTTCACATCTGTGAACCTGTCTATGACATCTGCAGCAGCAGGTCCTGCTGCAGGGTCCTGACTGGCTGGTCCATCATGTCTGTCACTTAAGCCCTGATTCTGTTGCTCGTTGTTCTCCTGCTCACACTTTCCTGTTTCTCTCACTGTGTTTCTTTGCCTGCATGCATTTTCCTAAGGTGCCTTTGTGTTTTGGAGGTCTGCTCTTAAGAGATTAGCGCAGGAGGGGAGTAACGTCCAGCGCGTGAAAGCCACTCTGCCTGGCTCCTTAGGGCTGGAGTCTGCGTCCCAGCCCAGCACTGATTTCCCTGTAGTCTTGGACAGTGTTTTCTAATAGGTGGACTTCAGTTTCTCCATCTTACAGGAAAGGGTTTGGTGATTTAGTGCTTTGTAGCATGTAGCTTGGACTTCACTGTGCTCAGCTCATGAAATTTCTAGTAAATGCACTGAACAGGCACAAAGCACACCTTAAAGATGTGGGGGCATGGGAGGTGCGCCCCACTGCCCCGTTTCAGAGCTGCTGCAGCGTGTGACAGTGCACATGTGGAAAACCAGCGTCAGCTTGGGAGGCCGGGACTCCCGCCAGCCACGACTCCCTCTGCCCCAGGCACCACACTGAGCCCTTTCTGTGTCATCTCCAGATTCCTGCCAGGCAGTGTGTCTGTCCCCATTTTCCCAGATGTTGAAGTTGAGGCTTTGTAGGCATAGGCAGTTATGTAAAGAAGACCCAGGATTTGGTGCACGCCTGAGTCCGAAAGGTCACGTTTCACTTGTACCCCGCACTGGTTTTCATCCTGTCACCAGCTTCTTTCCTCTCAAGATAACACACTCTTCCTGTTGGGTCCACAGCTGACAATGAAAACAACATCACCTCCAACCAGTCCCGATCGCCCCCTGCTGTTGTGGAAGAGAAGTGGAAACCTCAGGGCCAGAGGAACAGTGCCAATAACAGTAGGTGTCCTGGGTCGAGGTGGGCCCAGGGTTCACAGAGGTCTGGGCAGCTTCCATCTGATTTTTCCTCCCCATGATTCCTGCGGTCTGAGTCTCCTGTGAGGACACATGGTGGCGCACAAGTTTCCAAAGCTCTTTTTTAAAAAATATGTATGTGGTATAGGTTTTCACTATGTAGCTCAGACTCATAGTGCTCCTCCTGTCTCAGCCTCCCCAGCACGGGGATTACAGGCGTGCACTATCACACCCTGCTTGGTGGTCAGCTTGGTGCGCCTGGGCATGCAGAGCCAGCACGGCATGCAGTACCAGAGATCAAACCCAGGTCCTTGCACTTGCCTAGGCAGGCGCTTAGACCTCTGAGCTACCTCCATAGCCCTAAAGACCTCACTTTTAGGAATTCTTAATGCACAAGATGAATAGGAGGCCCAAGGAAAGGAGGTAATATTTCATGGTCAGAAAGTCCTGTTAGACTCAGAATAGAACCCACCTTTCCATAATTTTCTTTTGACTTGTTTCTGAAACCAGCTTTACATATTTTTTTGAAGTGTCCCAGGGCCGGTGAAATAGCTGAGCAGACTAAGCGCCTGCTTATCTAAAGTGCAGGGACCGGACTGGCCCTGCCCCCAGGCACACTGAGTCTGACACTAAGTCTGGGCGTGGTGGTGCATGCCTGTAATCCCAGCGCTGGGGAGGCTGAAAACAGGAGGATCACTATGAGTCCAAGCTGTATAGTGAGACCCTGTACCAAATATATTTTTTAAAAAAGATTCTCGTTTTAGTGGTGATTCCTCTTGTTCCTGTATTTTCTTCAGACGTCAAAGCGGATGGCATACATGGTAAATATGTTGCATACATATCAACACTATGCTGTTCCCATGCCCCTGGCAGCCATTAGTAATCAATCATAGAACTTCTTTTCTCTGTAAGACCACTTTGTGTTAAACATAGCACCAGTGTGTGTGAAAGATGAAATTCATGTATCATTCCTAACCTGAGATGTTTTACATATTAGGCTGCTACTAGACGAAGCAGTCTTGAACACCAGAATTAACCCCATCTCTTTGTGTTCCCTGCCAGCCACGACCAGTGGTTTAACGTCCAACAGCATGATCCCTGAGAAGGAGCGGCAGAACATCGCAGAGCGGCTGCTGCGGGTCATGTGTGCTGACCTAGGCGCCCTCAGTGTGGTCAGCGGGAAGGAGTTCCTCAAGTTCGCCCAGACCTTGGTAGACAGTGGTGCCCGCTATGGGGCCTTTTCAGTCACTGAGATCTTGGGCAACTTCAACACGCTGGCACTGAAGCACCTGCCACGCATGTACAACCAGGTGAAGGTGAAAGTGACATGTGCCTTGGGCAGCAATGCGTGCCTGGGCATCGGTGTCACCTGCCACTCTCAGAGTGTTGGCCCAGACTCCTGCTACATCCTCACAGCCTACCAGGCTGAGGGGAACCACATCAAGAGCTATGTGCTGGGTGTCAAGGGTGCAGACATTCGTGACAGTGGCGACCTGGTGCACCACTGGGTACAAAATGTGCTGTCAGAGTTCGTGATGTCAGAGATCAGGACAGTGTACGTGACGGACTGCCGGGTGAGTGCGTCCGCCTTCTCCAAGGCCGGCATGTGCCTTCGCTGCTCAGCCTGTGCCTTGAACTCAGTGGTGCAGAGTGTGCTGAGCAAGCGGACGCTGCAGGCCCGCAGCATGCACGAGGTCATCGAGCTGCTGAACGTGTGTGAGGACCTGGCGGGCTCGACGGGCCTCGCCAAGGAGACCTTTGGGTCTCTGGAGGAGACGTCGCCACCACCCTGCTGGAACTCGGTGACAGACTCGCTGCTCTTGGTGCATGAGCGCTATGAGCAGATCTGTGAGTTCTACAGCCGAGCCAAGAAGATGAACCTCATCCAGAGCCTCAACAAGCACCTGCTCAGCAACCTGGCCGCCATCCTCACCCCGGTGAAGCAGGCAGTCATCGAGCTGAGCAATGAGAGCCAGCCCACCCTGCAGCTGGTGCTGCCCACCTATGTCCGGCTGGAGAAGCTGTTCACAGCCAAGGCCAATGATGCGGGCACCGTCAGCAAGCTGTGCCACCTCTTCCTGGAGGCGCTCAAGGAGAACTTCAAGGTGCACCCGGCCCACAAGGTGGCCATGATCCTGGACCCGCAGCAGAAGCTCCGGCCTGTGCCGCCCTACCAGCACGAGGAGATCATCGGGAAGGTCTGTGAGCTCATCAGCGAGGTGAAGGAGTCCTGGGCTGAGGAGGCTGACCTTGAGCCCGCCACCAAGAAGCCGCGCACCGCCGCTGGGGAGCACCCCGCGGCCCAGGAGGATGATCGCCTGGGGAAGAGCGAGGTGTACGACTACCTGCAGGAGCCCCTCTTTCAGGCCACCCCAGATCTCTTCCAGTACTGGTCCTGTGTGACCCAAAAGCACACAAAGCTTGCCAAGCTCGCCTTCTGGCTGCTGGCTGTCCCGGCTGTGGGGGCGCGGAGCGGGTGTGTCAGCATGTGTGAACAAGCGCTCCTCATCAAGAGGAGGCGGCTGCTCAGTCCAGAAGACATGAACAAACTCATGTTCCTGAAATCCAACATGCTTTAAGACTGGGCTTCAGGAAAGTAGAAAAACGAAACATAAAAAAGCAAACAAAAGGCGAACATTAGAAAAACACGTAACACTGTCACAAAGAAAAGGAATTTAAGTTCTAAACACTGTGGACCTCATTCTAAATGCCCCCTGGAAACTTAAGTGCTTCTTTTCAGTGTGTGTGTGTGTGTGTGTGTGTGTGCATGTGTCCACACCCACACATGTGCGCGTGTCTGAACACGTGTGCCATAGGCGTGGGGCTTTGTGCTCATCTGTGCAGCCAGAGAAATCTCCACATGCGTGCACACACACACAACCCTGGTGCATGCACATGTGCCTGCTCAAAGACGCGTGTGCATGGGACTGGGCATGCCAGGAAAGCCACGAGACTGGGAAAGAGGGAGAAGTTTCGCCTTTTCTAGGGAAGGGGCTCTAAAGACTCTGTTTTTCAGGTGTGCAGATTGGGAGAAATGTTGAAACGTTCAGGCAGCTGAGATCTGAAGTGACTTGACATCCCGTCCTCTGCCCCTGCCGCCCCGCCCCACCCCGCAGCCCCCCCACCCTAACAGCACCTGCCCCCCGCCCTAGCTGCTCTGCCGTGGATTCTCCAAACTGCATCCAATGGACAGTTTCTGCACTGGACTTTGTTTCTCGTTCACCTTCAGGGCATTGAGCTGCTGCCTTTGCGATCACCCTTGGGTGTCCGCAGGCAGCCGCCTTAGAAACACACCTATCTCCCCCAAATCAGGAAAGGAGACTTTAAGACTATAAAGCTGACATTTTTCTTTTTAATATAAGAGAGAAAGAAAAAGAGACATTTTTCAGAGAAGTATAGATAACTGTCTCCACTCAGTTTTTTTCCTAACGTTTTGGCAGTTTTTACCTTTTGGGGGATTCATTTTACCTTTTTTCCAATTTGCGTTTGACTCTGCTAGGAGGCACTGAATGTCTATAACTTATGTTTCGGAGTGTTTGGGTTTTTTTACTTATCCTTTTCGTTCCTCACGTCACACTGTAAACTAGCTCATCTCAGTGGTATATTCAGTATCCTAAGGTTTTTATCAGCCTTCCCTGTATAGTCCGGTTTTCCTGTTCTCAGTCAGACAAGACATGTGCTGTCTGGAGACTAAGGGAGGTGGAAGGGTCGTGGGTTCCTCATGTGGGGTTTGGTGGAAGCTCTGTGGGCAGCACATGGGGTCTCCTGAGTGTGAGCGAAAGCGCCACCTCCTGGTTTGTGTGTCTGGTACCAGGAGCATCTGGCTTCTGTTCCGAGTGCCCTCCACTCCTCGCCACATCCCCACCCTTCCGGCCCCTTGGGACTCCTGAGTTGATCTATATTCAAGGCAGCCACATCCCAGACCCAGTGTCTCCCTACTTCCCAGTGTTCCTTCAGGTAGTCGGCAGCCCTCAGGGGTCCCCATGGGCACCATCCAAAACCAACCAGGACAGCAGGTGAGCTTGGTGCCCTGCAGGCTAAACAGTTGGTGTTCTGCAAGTGGACACCTTCTACACAATGCTGTGATGGGGTATCTAGGCCCCTCTCCTGATTCTCCAGCCATGAGCAACTGAGGTTCTCCTCAGAAGATCCCATTCTTTCCAAGAGAGAAAGATCAGCTCAACCCCACCCCTAGTGAATAAGGAGCTGGTGGTCCCCTGTCCCTCAGGTAGCTGTGTCCATGGGATAAGGATGGTTGTGCTTCAGGCACCTGAGAATGACCACCATTGTGGGGGCTGTTTGCAAAGTCACCTTCTGCCACTGTGTGGGTTGGCTAAGTGGACCCCCCCCCATGCACCCTATAATAAAGCATTGTTCAACTGTGAGATACCTCGACTACAAAAAGCACTGTACCATAGCCCTCTCCTCTGGGGCCCTGGCAGGATGGGAGTAAAGTTGGTTTAAAACTCAAGGCTTAAGCATCGTGATCTTGGGCCCAGAACCCTGTCTTTGGAGGCCAAGCCTGTACTCTTCACCTCATGAAACTAACCCAGCTCTCCCTGCAGCACTGGACATACTGAAATGGGCCTTAGTGGGCCATTGCCACAATTGCCTCAGCAAGCCATGGACCCAGGCTGGCTCCTCTCCTAGAGAACTTGCTCTAGGTGTTTCTTCTGCGTTGCCAACTCCTACCACTACCACCAGAACAGCCTCCATCCACAGTGGAGCAGGAACAGGGAGAATCCAGACGGGAACCAAATGTCACTTCCTCACAAATATGAAACATTGGCAGATTCTTTGACGAGACCTTTGGAATTCTGGAAGGTGGGCTCTGGGTTGCCGATTGACAGATGTTTCTTACCAATTTTGCTTGACTGCTGGATGGGATGATTGCAACTTGGCACTCTTAGCCACACTGGAAGGACGGGAGCTGCCCGTTTGGGTTGTCAGTGAAAGCAGAGCCAGTTATGTTGCCCGGGCTGACACTAAGCCAGTGAATTACAAAACCAGCAGCCATACCTACATACACAGAGCACTTGGTGGTCTCCTCATCAGGGCATGAGATCCTTGCCCTCCAGAATGAAAATTAGAGTAAGTCATACTTACTGGAAGTAGCCAAAATTAGGTTGTCCACTTAAATAACTCAGTTCTTTTGCACCTCAGTTCAGTACTTAGGCTCAGCTTGCCTCCACAGGTTTCCTGTAAATGCTGTCAGGTCTGCAGAAATCTGCCCCCTGGGGCTTCCTTGTCTATCTAGCTAGCACAGTAGCAGGCAGTCATTTCTCTCCTGCAACCTATGGTTCCCCAGAAACTGGTGTCACCAACAGGAAAGGCTGTGTGCCAGGTGCCCCCTTGGCCTGCTTTCTCATGCAGGCTATTACCATGGTGCAAATCCTGCTCCGACAGGCAGCTTAACAAAACCCAAAGACCACACAGGTCCGCCCCCTGCCCCATTATTTCTAGCAATATCCACCTTACCAAATTTCCAGCTCATCCAAAGGACTAAGATGGGCTCTTCCAGTTCATCTCCTGCTACCTGGCCTGGCCTTAACCTTCAGAAAGGTTTTGTCATCTGCCCACAGTGCTGTGACTACCATAAGTCTCTTCCACAGGCCTTTGGGAGTTGGGAGACCAGGAAGTTGGACCATTTCTGTCATACCTTTGCAAGTTAAAGTGGCTGCCTGCTGACCTGTATACAGCTTACCTCAAGCTGAGTGATTTCCATGACAGAAACAGCTTTTGTTTCTCAACATCCATGGACCCAAGAAGGAAGTGGAGAAAATACACTTCTGCTCAGCGTAGCGTTTCCCCCTCTGTGGTCATCAACAGAGCCAAGCCAAGGACTGCAGTCCCTCGGATTTTCATTAACCTGAGGCTCTCAGGTCTACCAGGAGGATGGCTTATCCTGACTGTGGATCATGCAAGCATCCCAGCACAGCTCCATGTGCCTAGGTCAGGTCCCTCTCTGATGGCATTTAGGAACCAAAAACTGGTGCCACCTGAGAAAACTTGTCTGCTCTTCATTTCTGTGGGTTCGCACACAGAAGGCCACCTGTTGCATCACAATTCAGGACATGTCCCCACCATCCTGTTTAATGGCTTCTTACTTGGCAGCAGGAAGAATGCACCAAGGTTTCCTGGCAAGGAGAGAAGGGCAGCCAGTGGACAGATGGGGAGTCGTGGATCTCTAGAAGTCCAGGAGGGAATTTTAGCACCAGCCCCCTGGTCTGCTGAGGGTCATCTCTGGCAATTTGACCTGTTACTGCTTGCACTTTTCTAGGAACACCAGAGAATTCTGCAGGACATTTGCCACCTTGAAGCCAAGACCTCTGCCTTTGGGAGTCCCCTGTTAACACCTGCTTTCCTAGGCTTGGGTTTGTCTCCTCAAAGAGTGGGCTCCTGGAGAGACACCAGAGGTGCTGCATGTACTGTGTGGGGCCGCAGAGTAACCAGGAGGTTTGCAGTGGAGCCAGGACAAAGGTGGAAATCAGAAACCTGTGAGATGCTCAGCAGGGTCATCAGGACTATCATCGCGGCGCTGTGCTTGAAGAGGCCGGGCCGAGGGCGTGGTGGGCGGCCTCCTTATCCTATAAGCTGAACCAAATTCCAAGCTTCGCCCTGGCCTTGGGAATGTGGCAATCACGCTATCTCTGGGATGTATTAGAGGACTCCTGGGAAGGCCGTAGTTCTGATGGAACCGAGCGACTGCACGAAGCTCAGGCTGTGCCCTGGAGACAGCAGACGGGCTCTGGTCCCTGCCCTGCCGGCCCTACCCCCGCTGGGCAGTGGGTGATGAGAGAAGAGAGCTGCCCCTCTTCACTGTGGCTAATGATTGCTAGGCCAGTTATGGTGAACCAATGATAACGGTGTTTTCCCTCTTTAGTTTCCCTCCAGGTCTCCCCTTTGCAGGACTCCCGGGGGGGATTTTGTTGTTCTTTTCTTTGGTTTCTTCCTCTCTCATTTGGGTCTAAAGATCGGGAGAGCCCTGGCTTCTGCCCAAGGAGCCCCGCGTTTTCTATATGAGAAGGCGCTTGCTCACCCGCAGGGGGATAAAGGAGCAGCTCTGAGTCGCTGTGTGCCGCCCTCAGGCCCCCGCCCGGGTCGTGGGCACTGCACTGACAATTCAGCTCCTGTACCAAGGATTCGCCAGGTTTGCATCTGGGCATTAGCGTCACGACCCTGCAGGGTCTGGCCCACCCAAGCATCCCACTGGGCACCTTGATTCTTCGAACCAAAGTTCCTTAAAGGGGCCCAGCCCAACCTTGTCCACAACCTCAGGAGCCTGGGATTTCTGTGGCACAGCCTGAAATCCTGGTTGGCACAGACCACGGAGTCTGAGACCCACCAGAAGGAACGGCTCCTCCCGCAACCCAGCGCCAACCCGTCTCTGCCTAGGGCCTCCGGCTGCCCAGCCAGGATGGGTGGCTTCCCGAGGGGCAGGCGAAAAACTCATGGACCGACACGGGCTGAGCCTTGCAGTCAGGAGAGAGAGAGAGCCCTGCGGCAGGGACGTCCGCAGCCCAAGCGTCAGGAAATCATTTTGTACAACCACCCGGAGCAGAGATATTTTTTAAGAAGCGTAAATTATTTTCAGTTTTCTGACCCTACCTTTTTCTTTTCCCCACAACTTCACGTCAGTGACTCATTCACGTCAGGTAAATCTCGAGAACGCCTTGGTGCCCCCTCCTGCCTGCCCACCCCCACTCAGAAACCATGTGCGTGTGCCCCTCGCCCCTTCTCAGTAGTTACGACGTTCTAGGCAATACCATAGGCACATCTGACTGTGTCTCTCTCTTCGAGTGCAAGAAACTCAAGTCATCTTAAAAAAATTTACAAAAAAGCAAACACAAAAAAAAATAATATCTTTTTTAGGCCAGAGTTTTCTACAGGTATTAATGAATATTTTTCTTAATCCTTATAAGTTTTATGTGTTTAATATTTCTTAATACCGGTAGCATTAATTTATACTTTTGTAGCAACACAATATTTTTATAAACAGCCAGTGCTTGGCTCAAGTCTCCACGGGGGTTTATGCAGGGCCACCTTGGGACCCTGTGTACCATGTACTGTATTTAAAAAATAAAAAGTTACCTAGTGTCACACTCGCTGTGTTAACAAGAGATGTTGTTGGCAGTCTCCTTGATTGTTGGTGTGCATCCAACTGTTCGCAAGGAGTCACATTGCATGGGGGTTGAGTTGACAGTTCTTGTGACATGTAGACCCCCGAGACCAAACTTGAGGGTTTATTTAGGGTTTTGTGTGTGTCCTTTGGGTTTTTGTTTCATTTTGTTTTGGTACCGTTTCTCCATTTACAGCCAAATCAGTTTCATGATGTGTAAACCTTCTACTGATGTCAAATGGAGGAAAGGATCAGAAACACAAATTTTTTTTACAAAGTAATAAAATTTAAAACTGAGCTGTTTAAATGTCGCTGTTTTTACCTGTCTGTTCTTGTCCAAAAGTGGACATTCTCTGGGAGGAGAGTTCCACCCGGTTCCTTCAGTCGCCCAAAGCCCCAGCCCAGGATTCTGTACCCCACTGGCACCCTGAATTTTCACAATGTTATTCCCAGTTGGTCGATGCCAAGGCAAAAGGACATCCTTTTAATGGTTAGAGAGCATCAGTTGCTTAAATGAGTTCATGTCAGTGTTGTATTTATGGTTTTACAATAAAATGACCTTTAGGAAGATGCGCTGTGCAGTTTTTTATTCCCCCCCTTGGGCTTGCGGTTGGGCTCTGCCACCCAGTTAGTAGGGCGCCTGCAGGAGCTGGGTGAGGCGAGGACACTTGTCACCCCTTCTCTATGAGCCATTGGCCATCTGTGGCAGCAGATCCAGCTCAGCCGTTGTTTGATACCTGGGGAGGGCCACGGCCCTGGAGGAGGGGACCTCTGAACACCTGGGTGAGGAGTCTCACCTGTGGCAGGAAGGATGAGTTTGACCTGCATGCTGCAGGCCCAGTGTCTGAAGGCACACGAATGCCTGACCCTGTGATCATCTGAGGGACTCTGGAGTACCTTGGGCTTCCCACATGATCTGTGTGTTTGCCATGACTGTTGGGTACATTGCCCATTTTCTGAGAAAGAGTAGCCTTGGATTTTTTCCCAGTTCCTAGTGGCACCTACGACTCTTAAACAAGAACCAGCGGCTTCCATCATGAGCTATGGGAAACCCGCCCAGAGCACTTGCCCAGAGCCTGACACACCACAGACACAAACCAAAGACAAGTGGTAGGAGAGACGGCTCCACCAGAGGTCAGCCACAGGTGGCGCGAGTGGGAAGGGTGATAGCTTGAGGAGCTGCCTGTGGCTCCCAGCCGCCCACCCTGACATCCCTACTCCATCCAAGTCTGGCCAGCTGTCACCCTTAGAAGATGTCTTGTTTGGTTCTTCTAGAAAAATACCATCAAATGGCCCATCTGGTACTGCTCTCTGCCCTCCAGACTGCCCTCCCGGGACCTCAAGGTGAGTGACCATGGACGTCCCTGAGCTAGCAGCTGACAATTTCTCTGAGTCTAAAACAAAAAGGAGGGGTTGTTGGCTAAAGGACGGCCCCACCCCCTTGAGCCAAGTAAGACCAGGGTGGGCATGATCCTAGAGCTCTTACCACTGAAGGGCCGATTCCTGGGTCTTACACCCTTGTGTTCAAAGGGGCAGGAAAGTGTTCCTTTATTAGGTTCCCTCGTGTTCTTGGTAGGAAATGTGGCCCGTACCACTAAGAGAATGTGGAAGAGAGACTGAGAATCAAGTGAGAGAATAGAAGGATTGGATGAGTCTTCGAGGAACCAGGTCAAGAATGACTTGTGAGACGAGAAGTGGGCACTGTGACTTAGTGACAGACAGATCATGCAAACCCATCGCTGAGGGGGAGCGTCAGAATATGGCGATTTTTTAATTCTAGTGAAAAGTTACAGTGCGTGTCATAGAAGCAAATGCCTCAAGGGCCAGGCTGGGACAGGACTGACCCCCTTGCCCAACCAGGACTGCAGGATGCAAGGTGAAGGGCCCAGATCCTCTTACCTCTCACGAGAATAGAGAAGCCCAGGTTTTTACAGATTGATTTTTATTGTTTGTTTGTTTGGATAACTTGTTTTTTTAACATTTAAAAAAATCTTTTTGTTTGTATTTTTAGCGCAGGGTCTACAGGGTCTACAAGGTCCCACTAAACCAATTGGACTTGTAGTGATCCTCTTGTTTTCAGCTTCCCAAGGCTGGGATTACAGGTGCGTGCCACCACACCCAGTCTTAAAAACATTTTTTTATTTATACATTTGATATGGGGTCTTGCTCCACAGCTCGGACTCGTAGTGAATCTCCTATCTCAGCCTCCCCAGCACTGGGACTATAGGTGTGCACCACTATGCTTGGTTTTAGGGCTGGCACCATGTGTCCAAGGTTCCAGGGCCAGCATGGCATGTGGGGATCCAATCTGTGTACTTGTGCTTGCCAGGCAGGCACTTAGATCGCTGAGCTATCTCCCCACCCCCATGATAACTTAGCTTTTAAGTGGGAAACTCATAACTGTTCAAAAAGACCTTGGAAAAGCTGGGCACACACCTGTAATCTAGCACTTGGGAGGCTGAGGCAGAAGGATTACCAAGAATTTAAGGTCAACCTCAACTACATAGTGAGTTCAAGGCCAGCCTGAATTGTATAGCAAGATGAAATGCTGTCTCAAAAAAAAAAAAAAAAAAAAGACCTTGGGAGCCTAATGGCCCACCCCTCTGGGAGCTGCCTGGACCCCTAGAGCATGCACTTTGTAGGTAAGTGTTTGTCCTTCACTCTGGGTCATTTTAATGTAGTTTCTTAGGAGCAGCACTGTTAATAACACTGCCATCAACTAACAGCTGGCCCTGGTGTGGAAGTCATGCGTGAAAGGGGCAGGATGGCCTTGGGGTGGGATGATGTTGGTTAATCCCAGGCTAGGAAACTTTTGCTTCTTTCAGACTTCCCTGCTCCTGCCCCACCCACTCTGCCTAGGGAGTCCTGACCACGGCCACGTGTGCTGTCCCAAGGCCAGTCCCGTGTTGAAATCTGGCAGCCAAGCTTGGGACTCTGGATGAGACCAATGGCACTCTGTGTTTTAGAGAAGGCCACGAAGTTTTGTGTATCTGCATCTAAGAAATAGGAAATTCCCTCCCTTCTTCCTTCCTGCCAGGTCTCCAGCCCTTGACCAAACTGGCCACTGGCTCTCAGTGTGCTTGTCACTACACCTAGCATGGTCCATCCCTGGTTTCAGCTTGCCATCTCCAAGTACATGAAGTTGGGGACTCATCCCGCCACTGCAGCAGCAGCAGCCTTGTGACTCTGGAGAGTCCTGGTATAGTCAGAGGCTGTGTTGGTCCTTGAGGGCCCCTGGACAGTCCACCCACTCCTTTTCCCAGGTGGGAAGAAGCCAGCCCAGCCTGGGGCCTCCAACCTCTGGTTCTCTGTCTAGCTGGCCATCCTGGACACACTGGAAGCCAGTGAACAGTCTCCTTCCCAGGCAAGCTACCAGGCTAAGGATTCTAGGAGACGGACATCCCAGGATGAAGTAGAAGAACTGAGGTATGTCATCTCCAGGGTGGGGACAGGAAAGGGACAATGGCTGAACGATAGCTGTGGAGGGAAGTGGGTGTGGCCAGAGACGGGAGTGACCAAGCACTGTGGGTGTGCCCTGAGCTCCCAGGGCACACTAGGGCACCAGCATTTCTTCCAACCCTGGGTCCAATTTCTCCCAGAAACAAATGCTTAAAGTTCTTTTCCCTTTCTTTTCTAGCTTTACTAAAACAAAACAGATGAGTCCCTGCACTATCGTGGAATAACAAACTGATGTGTTTCACACTGCGCGGACAATGTCATGTGCTGCAGGAAGTTCCACGGCATTTCCAACCTCTGGGGACTCATGCTGCCCCAAGCTCAAACTTCTCCCCTCCCACCCCTCACCTTGTATTCTTAGGATGACAGTGAATGGTAAGGACATGGAGCTCCAGCAATGGAAAGTCTGGTTTTATTTGGACTCAGGACACTTGGCCAAGTCTGTCCTGGCACAAACACCGGCCATCATCAGTTGGAGAATCGCAGCAGTTCCTCATCCCCTGTGGACACAGAGAGGCTCAGGGAGTAGCCCATGGGTGGGAATACTCAGGGACTGGGGCAGCACAGGAAGGAGGGCAGGCCGCCCTGAGCAACTTCTCTCATAGGGCATTCCACAAAATAGGTGCTATTTTCAGGAGGAAATCAAGGCACAGAAATCCTAAATGGGTGTTGTTCCCTTATTGTCATTGTTGGTACAGCTGCCGTTACATGAATACTGACTCTGTGTCCCAGCAAAATTTGTCCCATTTTATAGAAGAGATGATTAATGGCACAAATTTTCCCTTGCCCCACAGGGCAAACCTGCAGGTGTCAGCACTAGAATGGACACCCAGTTCTGCCTAGCTCCTCAGTCTACCCTGTTCCCCTCAGCTGCTGCCCAGCAGGCATCTCAGGTGCCCAACGCCAGCAGAGGGAAGGCTCTGGGCTTGGCCTGTTTCAGACAGGAAGCTGAGGCCCAGAGAGTCGGTGGGCTGCTCACCAGATACACACTCTAGAACTGACCCATCCTCTCCTGGGCTTTCCCACTTGAATCATGGCAACCCGTGGCCCAACCCATGCCCCACAGGGCCTCCTACCATCACCAGGGACACCGCAGTATTCCTTGCACTCCTTCTCCGAGTAGAACTTGTTGCCATTGCCTTCACAGCCCCCATAGTCGAAGAGGACACACTTCCCCTGGACGGCGTCAAATGCCCAGAGCTGGATCATGGCTCGGCAGGGGCCAGTGACTATGGGGAGATTGCAGGCCGCTGTGGGTGGAGAGAGGCATTGGTCATGGTCATGAGTACTGAGCCAGGAGCCCCTGATCACCTACAGGCCTCTAAAGGACCTCTCTCCCACAGATTGGGAAACAGATCCACACAAAAGAAGTGGCCAGCCTCAGGTCAGCCAGATTGAAGTCCGTGTCTTCTGAATATAGGCAACTTGTCCTGGAATTCTACATGCCGTCTTAACGCTGATCATAGATGGTCTGCTGGGAGAACAGGCCCATGAGGGTGCAGCAAGCACTGAGGCAGCAGCTGTACTCACCTATAGTCCGGCAGGTCTGTAGACACTCCTTCTCAGAGTTGAAGTTGTTACCGTTGCCCAGACAGCCGCCATATTGGAAGGTCTCACAGGCCATAGAGGAGCCGTTGTAGAAATATCTCCTAAACAGCCCCAGGCAGGGACCTGCTGAGTGGGCAAGCTGACAGGAATCTGGGGAAGGACAGAGAAGCGGTCCTTACTGGGAGCTTACTGGATACCTGTTACCAGTCTGGGAACTTGATAGCATCAAGCCTTCTAGTTTTCGCCTCTGCACTTAGGCAAGGACTGCCAACTTGGTTTGCAGATAGAGAAACTGAAGTGACCTGGCCGGGGTCACACTGCTAAGATCCAACGACTTGTTGGACTCTGTAGCTGATCCTCCCTTTCCTTGATAACATGCGGACTTAGCAGTGACTCACAGACCTACTGCATGCTGTGCTGCTTTCTCTGCCCAGAGAATCTGTAATAATAGTAGCTGATAATACATTTCCCAGCCCCACACCAGGCAGCCTGACCTCTCCACTGAGATGCCACTGCCATGCCTTTGTTCCCTTGTGCCCTGTCCCCGGAATGCCTCCCACCATAAAACCCCTGCCTGGGTAGGGCGTGAACTCCCTAGGTCCACGAGGTCTCAGCCCACATCCTCGGGGCTCCTGCAGCCCTTTGATGAACCTCTCTTGGACTCCTCATCTTCCCCCTTGGGTGCCTCCCCCAGACCCAAAGGCCCAAGAAGGCAGGGACGCTTTGTCTCTGTGACCCTTGCTGCTGTCACAGGCCTGGGCTGAGCTGGTTTGGTGTGAGCTGAGTGAGTTGGAGAGCGAGGCATTTATGAGCGTTGCTGACAGCACCAAGCACCCTCACATCCTTTCTCCCTGATGGTGAGTCCATCAGGCTATAATCCCACTGCACAGATGAGGAAACCAAGGCTCGGAGGCCACAGAGTGACACAGACAGGGCAGGAACTCCCTTTCATCCCAGAGCTGAGAGCTCATAAGCTCGGGACCATGCTTTGCGTTCCTCTCCCCCTCCACAAACCTGGCATAGCGCAGAGGATTTTATTTCCCTCTTGCTGGTTCTTAGCTCTAGCAGCCAGCCAGAGACTTCACGGCATTGAGGCATGCAGACGAGCTCTTTCTGGGAGCATGGCAGGCCTGGGGGAGGAGGAGGCAGGTTCTCCTTACCTTCCTTCTTGGTGAAATCAGTTACTGGTTGTCCAGCTCCTGACCCTTCATCTTCTTGGGGTAGCACAGCCCGCCGGGCTCTCTGCAGAGGAAAAACAAGAAGCTATTACAGAGAACTTGCCACTATCGTGCCCTGTACCCTGGAAATGCATGAGCAACAACCACATGCCCTGGGAAAAAGGGTATAGGTTGGTTGTCTACAAAACTGATGGACTGTCTTTACATGAGCATCAACTCGAGTTCCAGAACAGGGTTCACAGGGTGGATTTCTAATCTGAGATGAAAATAAAAAACATAAAACATAATAATAGCTCTATATCCAACTTCCAGTTGAAATGCCTAAAGGAACATAGTAACGGAAAAGAACCTATCCAAGAGTTGGAAATCGCAGTAGTTGTACCAGTCAATATTCCCACCAACAGTGGAGAAGCGTGCTTTTTTTTTTTTTTTTTTCCCTATAGCCCCTCCAGTGTTTGTCGTTGGTGGACTTCTTGATAATGCCATTTTTTTAATGGGGTGAGATGGAGTCTTGGTGTTATTTTAATTTGCATTTCTTGAACAACCAATGGTGTTGAACAAGACTGGTACAACCACTATGGAAATCAGTGTGGAGAGTCCTCAAAAAACAAACAAACAAACAACAACAACAAAAAAAAACTAGGGGGTCCGGGGAGATGGCTCAGTGGAATAAGGCTTCCATGGCAAGTGCAAGGGCCTGAGTTCAATCCCCGGTTCCACAAAAAAAACAAAACAAAACAAACAAACAAACAAACAAAAACTAGGATTGGGAGCTGGGGAGTTAGCTCAGTGGTGTCTTCCTGGCAAGCACAAGGACCCATGTTCGATCCTCTGGGCCCCAGGTGCCAAGCCAGCCACAGAAACTGGGCATGGTGGCGCACACCTGTAATCCCAGTGCTGGGGAGGCTGAGACAGGAAGATCACTACAAGTCTGAGGTGCATAGCGAAACCCTGTACCAAATAAATACATAAATACATAAATAAACAAACAATTAAAATAAAAACTAACTGGGACTGGAGGTCCCCTTCACCTCAGCTGTTCCTCTCCTAGCTCAGTGATCTGTGTAGCCATGTATATAGCAGCACAACTTGTCAGCGCTAAATCCTGGAAACAACCCAACTGCCCATCAGCTGAGCAGTGGATACGAAAGACGTGGTATTTTTATGTGATGGAGCACTACTCAGCTATAAAAAGATAAACTTGAGGGTTTTCTAGGTAAATGGATGCACCTAGAGACCATCCTCATAAGGGAAATAAATCAGTCACATGTGTAAACATGGTATGGTCTTCCTAGTGTAAAAATCTGAATAAAATATCTGAAAGGTACAAAGATACTGTGAAAGTGAAAGAAACTGTTCAAAGGGAAAAAACAACTTGGATGGGGAAAATGAGAAAAGAAAGGAAGAAAGAAGGGAAAAAGAAATATATATGTACATATTGGGATACCTTGGATAATTGTACCACTGCTTTTTGCTGATCTATTGAAAGCAACAGTTAATGCTTAAATTTTTTTTTCTCTTTTTAATTTTTTTGACTAATTTTGCATGTTTATATCTGGTAATCTGAACAATTAATTTGGTGGGGTATTTGTTTGTTTGCAGTACTGGGAATTGAACTCATGACCTTGCCCTTGCCAGGAAGGTGTTTATGCCACTGAGCTATATCCCTGGCTCTGAACAACTAACTTGAAGACAACAATAGCAATCATCACTGAATTCCTATCATTTCGTTTAGTGAAATTCTGTATCTTTTTTAATGTTTTTCTTCGTGATCATGGTATCTCCCTTGCCAGGTAAGTATTACGTTTTTCTTACTATTTTTTATTCTCTTTTTTTTTTTAAAGTTGGAAACCAGGAAAAAGCAGCGTTTCCAACCAACATGGGAAGGCATTCCTTACACAGAGCGCTGTGTGACTGATTCGCAGAAGGGACATCGTTAGCTGCTTGCAAAGAAAGAAACTGCGAGTATTAAGGGCCCCACCCAAGGCCAGCCCTAATCTTCCTGTCTGCGGGTGATGGGGCCTGCAGAAGGGGCAGGCTGTTAAGAGGGTCGTAGGTATAGAATGCCCTAAAGCAGAATCTCTGGGCAATTCAAGAAAGGATGCGCAGAGAAACGGCTGGCCACCCGGAAGCCTCTCTGTTCACAGGTGAGACCTGAAATTTGGAAAGGTAGACCCACGGTAAACTTCACTTTTCTCTCCTACTTTCTGGGTGCAGTTGAAAACTGTGAAAATGTTTAGGGGCCCCTCCCTTCTTCTTCTTCCAGTAAAATATAGCTAAAATAAATACTTGTTAAAGCTGTTGTGCAATTTAGCATAAATATTTTTAAAATCTTTTTTCAAAAAGAAGGATTGAAATATCAGTCTTCGAGAATACACATAAAAAGAGGAAGATGGGAAATTTAGAAGGACAGAAATAGAAAGCAAGCAGGAGAAAAGAAACTTGCTGTGTTTCTGTCTTTAACAAGAGAAGTCCTTAGTTCCTGTTTCATTCCTGATGTTGATAAAGAAATGAAGATTTGGGCCGGGGAGATGGCTCAGTGGAATAAGTGCTTCCCTGGCAAGTGCAAGGGCCTGAGTTCAATCCCCGGTTCCGGGAAAAAAAAAAAATGAAGATTAAACTGACATCTGAACTAAGAGACAGCCCCCACATAATATTTAGCAAACAATTATTCTAACAAGAAACAAGCACCCCTTCCCCATTTTCATCAATGTCACTCAAAAAGAGACAAGGGGGCATGGTTTAAAGCTAAAATTTAAAACTGGTAACCAATAGAAAAGGCAGAACATTCTAGAATGGAGTATAATTTCCAAAGCTGTGCGATGTCAAACTCTTCTTCCCAATATTTCCAGAGAGAAAAAAAATTGAAAAGCACCCCATTTCTTTCCTTTCTGACAGAAGAGTAGTTAAATGTCCTCTGGGAATAAAAGAATAAAAAGGGGTGTAGAGATTCTGGGTCTACACAATTGTGGAACCGATGTGCAGCACACCAGCCCAGGCAGATGTCGTGAGCCTTACATAGAACGTGCAGCCGTCTTTTGAAACGCAGCCACAAAAGAATGCTATAGAATGAGTTGTGTTCCTTCCAAAATTCATAGACTGGAGTCAGTACCCAGTAACTAAGGATATGGCCTTGTTTTGAAACAGGTTTGTTACAGATGTAAAGATGACGTCACTGGGAATGGCCTTTGTCCAATGTAAGTAGTGTTTATGTAGAAGGTGGAAATTTGGATATAAAGGTACACAAAGAGAACATACGTGAAAAATAAAGACAGGGCTTGGGGGTGATGAAGCTATAGGCCAGAGAATGCCAGCCAGAACCCCAAAGGAATGCCAAAGATGGCCAGAAGCAAGGGAGAAGAGGGCACAGGGTTTTCCTCAGAGCCCTCAGAAGGAACAACACTACTGATACCTTGAGCACAAACTTCTGGAAGCCTCGAGGACTATAAGACCATAAATTCATACTGTTTAGGCCTCCAGTTTGTGGTACTTTGTTGGGGCAGCCCTAGGAAACTGACACAAAGTGTGTAAGGTCCGAGATAGTGGCCCTCGGGAGAGAGCTTCAACTGTCCCCACCACCAGTTCTTCAGAAAAGTGTGTGAAACCCCCCAAGGGCTTACACTGAAGTAAAATGTGAGGGAATTAGGCTCAAATTATTTTGGGAAGAGAATGGAGAAGTGTCACCTGCGCCCCACCTTAGCAGAAAAATGTTTGCATAAAGCTGACAAAAGAGGATCAAGATAAAGTAAAATGTATAAATTATGAATCCACCTCAGAAATGAGTAAATAGGGGCCAGGGAGATGGCTCAGTAGAATAAGCACGTCTCTGGAAAGTGCAGGGGCCTGAGTTCAATCCCTGTTTCTGAAAAAAAAAAAAAAGAAAAGAAAACGAAAAAGAAGAAAGAAAGAAATGAGTAAATAAATAACCTGAACAAAAGCAGGAGTCTGACTCTGGTGGACACCATCACAAATTGCCTAGATTTTCCCTCAGCAGTGAACTTGCTCTGTCAGAGGCTGGCCGTGCTGCTGAGACACAGCTTTCCACTCTCCGCCTCAGCTAAAGGGAGCCACCTCACCCAGGGTTATGTACCTGCCCACACTGGTCCACATAGGGCAGCTTGGTCCTGCGCCTTCACACCATCTTGTGACAGCACTAAAGTCTCCCCAGCCGCAAAGGCCCTTGTGGGGTTGGCTGGGGCACTGTGAATGTGTTGCAGCTGAACTTGTCACAGTCCCACCCTCATCCCTTACCCCTCACAGATACTGACCCCAGGAAACTCAACCTGCGATACTAGAAGAAAGCGGAATTAAGAGCAGGAGGCCATTCCCCAGTGGCTCCACGCTGTACACTCACTTAGAACATGAATTTATGAAAAGAGAGCTTGTCCTGATATTGCTCTAGAAAATCCCCTGAAGACTCAGAGGTTGGCCTTTCAGGAGGTGATTGGATCATGCCATGCTCCTCGGTGGATTAATCTGCCGAAGAGCTAAGTGTGCTGTTTGGAGGTGGTCACTGGGTGGGACCTGGGGGCCACGTCCCCTCCCTGCTCCCTCCCTTCACTCTCTGCTTCCTGGCAGCTGGCCTCCTCCAGAATCTTCCAGCACGCCCTTCCTGTCTGGGAGCCAGCCAACCGCAGACTCAAAACATGAGGCCAAATAAGCCCCCCTCCTTTAAATCGCTGGTGTCAGGGTCTGCGTCCCAGGGAGGAGACAGGGACTAAGACTCAGCGATGAACTGCCAGAGCAGTAGAATAGGATGAACCCAGACCCGAGCAGATGCAGAACCCAAACTGTTCATTTGGAGCTAGTGAATAAATTAGAGATAGAAATAGTAAGAAACAGAATGCAAAATCTTGTTCCACAGAGCGGGATGATGAAGAACGGCTACGAATGCAAGTGATAATCCCAACAAATGTGAAAGAGAAAGACAAAGATAAAATCAATCCGAGAGAAACGAGCAGCTATGAAAGACCCAGAAGCTCTAAGTAGAGAGAATGAGGGTCCCTGTGAGCAGAGAGCCGTAAAGCGAGCAGAAGACGCAATCCCCCACACTGGGCAAGACATTTCCCTGAAATACACAAGAAATGCATTTGGAGCCTGTACTTGGACATCCTTGCTCACATATAGAGCCATGAGCCCCAAGCAGGGCCTTGACCTCAGCGATAAAGCTCTCCCACGTATCAGAGCGGAAGAAACAAGCTGCCTGTGGGGACAGGGCCCACGCATCCCAGTGGTCCCGCCACTTCGCAGCAGTGGCCGTGCTGGAGGAAGTGCAGAGAGGCGGAAGATATGACCTCAGGATACGGCACCCACTCTAGATGGCAACTGAGTATGCAGGGGGCAGGCGGCCATTCGCACTCGTGACTGTAGGGGTAAAACACCCAGGAGCTGCCTCGAAAACTCTACTTGGCAAAGAAGGGCCATTAATAGGAGTGAATGGTCAGAAATGGAGAACCTGGTTATGATCTCTCAGCTAACATACAGAACCAGGGAGGAGTTCTACAAAACTACAGAACTGTGGTCTTGTTGTTTGGTGGTCTAAATGACAGTAGGCTTTAGAGGGACAAAATGGAATAAGGTTGAGGTCAGCCTGGACTACGCAAAAGACAGAGCCAAGAGGAGATGAATGAAGTTGAAGTGTTTTACTGTTTTCTTTCAAGTCACAGAGAAAATAAATATCTTTTAAGTTTATAGATAGCAGCATCAACCTCTTAAATGTTTTTTCCTAACTTTCACTTTCCTCTAAGCCATATGAACTTGGAATGAAAGAATATTGTTTTGAAGTTCAAGAAGTAAGTTCATTTTGGTTTGTTTTTAAATGTAAGTAAAATGACAATGCTTTGAAAATGGAGGATAGCATCGGTAACCAAAGTTTGTTTAATAGCACTCTAAGTATACCCATCCTCCTGTGCTTCCTTCTGTCTGCCCTGTTGAGATTATGAAAATTATGTGAATAATGGTAATTTGGGAGTTTTAAAAGTATTTTATTTATCTTGATATTTTCTGCATTGGTTTAATTCCTTAACATATGTGTTTTATAAGACCAAGAGTATTTTTCTTTTAAAAATATGGGGGGGGGCTGGTGAGATGGCTCAGTGGTCTAAAGCACCTACTTAGAACAAGCTTAGCAAAGCACAGGGACCGTGGTTCAATCCCCCAGCACCACATGCCAGCCAGCCCCGCCCCCTGGTGGGCTGAGCTGGCCACACACACACACACATACACACACACAAACACACGTGTAAATAAATAAATAAAATTTAAAAATTATATATATAGGAGTAAATAAGTAATAAGTTAATGGCATTGATTCTATGTTGGAATGATATTGTCTTTTCTCATTTTTCAATTTTTAAGGACGTGTTTTTAAGTAGACTTATATGCTATACACACATGCAGACAAACGCATGTTGTATATACGCGTAGAAACACGCATCTGTATACACAAAGCAGGAGAATAAGCTAGGTCACGTAACTTTTAAATAGTTGAAGATAGCTTAGTCAATGTGGCAAAGGGCAGGGAATAAATAGAAGTGAACTCAGAAGGCTGCTGAGGAGAGGAGTTGGCTTGTGAAGTTGCCTGGGCTCAGATTTTAAGAGAGATTGGTTGATTTTATTTTCATGTATTGTGTACTATTGTTCATTATGGAATATTGTCATCTCATCTTTGTGTCTTACTTCTTTAAGCACTTTTGAGCACTATGTTAAGAGATTTTCCAACACTCTACTGGAGTCTAGCAGAAGCCCAGAAGGTAAATCTAATGATTCCATTTCACAGATGAGAGACGTGAGGTCCAGACAGAGCAGCAACCATCAGAGAGGCAGAATCACAAGTGAGCATGGGCAGGTTGGACCCGAGCGCCCATGTCCCACGCAGCCCTCAGTGACCTGCCCCCTCCCACAGCAGGGCCAGAGCGAGCCCCGAAACAACCGAGTGTGTGGAGCAATGACACAGGGCGAGTGGGGCTGGGGTGGGGCAGAGGTACTCACCAGGGCTGGGCTGGACTGTGGGATCTGCTCCCCAGGGGTACACTCGCCTAGATCAGAGGACAGTAGACAGGTGTGAGCAAGAGGGCCAGGCTTGGGCGCAACCTAGACCTACATTTCTCTTATGATGCCGAGCGCCATCCGCCTCATGAGAAGTCCTGTCTGTTTTGCTTGCTCAAGGTCATTCATTGGAAACCCAGCAGGCTGCTCGATGTGTCACCATGACCACCTGCCCAGCCGTCCTCTCCACCGCATCTCATTGTCACCACAAGAATAGCAAGAGCTAATATCTACTGAGCACTTACTAGGCACAGTGCTAGTGTGCTTCATGCTTTATCTCATCGATTGCTCATAGCAGAAAAATCCCCATCTCATAGAGGGGGATAATAAGGCTCTGAGAAGTTGAGGTTGACTAACCAGAAGCCACATAAATTAGAACCCAGAACTCCAGAGACACTAGTCCAGTCCCAGGACTCCATGGCCTCCAGAGAGGCTCCTGTGGATTCTGGATGTGGCCTCACTGAGACAAGCAGGCATCAAAGACATACGGAGATGGTGCTAGTCCCATCTCTGCCAATGGTGCGCTGTGAGGCTTGGGACCAACCCAATGGCTCTCTGGTTCTCTGAAAAGAGGGAGGGGACTGTAGTCCTTATTTGAGGGGTTATAGCCAAGACACAGGGGCTGAAGTTGGCCTCTGGGGATCATGAAGGAGGAGTTGGAGACCTAAATCCAAGACTTAGTAGGGGGTGGCATTTACCTCTGTTGGCCATTGTGAAGATGGAGTCTGCGGGGATGCCCACACCCAGGGCCATCTCCCTGAACTCCTGCAGTAGGCTGTCCCTCAGCTGCGACTCTCGACCTAGAAGTAGGAAGGAGAGGAGACACCTAAAACCAACAGGCACCTGGGCTGGCTGGGCAAGATGACTTGGCATGGAGATTTTTTTTTTTTAATTTTTATTTATTTATTTGAGAGAGAGAGAGAGAGAGAGAGAGAGAGAGAGAGAGAGAG